AAATTTATTTATAGAAATAAATATGTCTGCTTGAAAGAATGAAGAATATGGTAAACAAGTTGCTATAAAGAATGCATAATTAGCCTATATAACCATTGGCATTTCATTAAAAAGTAGACCATGTTCTTGTTCTTTATGAGAAGTGGTTTTATTTAATTTGAACATAAAGGCATGTTGTGTGTCACCGCAGTTAAATCAGTGTCTATCATAATAAAACCTTAATATCAAACCTATATAATGAGTTTGGAAATTTTTGAGAAATGCTTAATAAATGCATTACACTGTAACTAAACCCATTATATTTTAGTCTTATTTTTTTGTTTTAAACTAAAAACAATTCTGATGACTAAAATATGACTAAAACTAAATGGCATTTTAGTCAAAGGACTATGACTAAAACTAAATCAAAATTTGCTGTCAAAATTAACACTGGTATTAACTCTGGTATAAATGTGTATTAATTGTGTGTGTGAAGTCAAAATAGACAGATGCTAGCAAGAAATCAGGCACCAAATATCTCAATACTCAATGGCACTGGAAGGATTGGTTGTCGACATCAAGAAATATAGGAAGTCTCACTAAATTAGATCTCTTGATGCGTCAGACCGTCTGCGTCGCGAGGAGAAGCAGCGACAGGAGCTGGAGAAGAACCGCAGGAAGCTGGAGGGCGACTCTACAGAGCTGCACGATCAGATCGCGGAGCTGCAGGCTCAGATCGCTGAACTGCGCGCACAACTCGCTAAAAAAGAGGAGGAGCTTCAGGAGGCGCTCGCCAGGTGAGACGCACACCGTATCCAATCGCAATCGAGCATCACTGCTCCGTCTGAATGAAGGGTTAGAGCTCCTGAGTGACTGTGTTTCCCGTCAGGATCGAGGAGGAAGCGGCTCAGAAGAATCTGGCACAGAAGAAGATCCGTGAGCTGGAGGCTCAGCTGAATGAACTTCAGGAGGATCTGGAGCTGGAGAGAGCGGCTCGAGCCAAAGCCGAGAAACACCGCCGAGACCTGGGAGAAGAGCTGGAGGCGCTGAAGACCGAGCTGGAGGATACGCTCGACTCCACCGCCACGCAGCAGGAGCTCAGGTGTGTTGCTTATAATGCTCGTTTGTCATCAGATTTATTTTAATTTCATGTCTGCATAATTTCCAACGTTTTTGTGTGGACTGGAGTTTTCAGCGTTTCACAGGTTTGTAATGAGAAGCTCTTATAAACCTGAAATGTAAAGGTGTCCCTCCAGTCAAAATGAAAAGTTTGAGGGGGCTGACACATGAAGGAGGAAGAAATTAAAACATAAATATCAGTATTTTTTTACTATTATAGTGAAAGTCATTACAATATTATTATTATTGTAGTTTTTGTTTTTCTAGATATTCGTTTTTTACATTTTGTACAGTTGCATTACAATTCTTTATTTTTTATAGAGTTAAAATAATAATGTAAAACATAATTTAATTATTTATTATATGTTTCATTGTATTATTTTACTATTTTATTAGATTTTAATTTAACAGCATGATTGCTGTCAAATGTTGCAAATGTTCTTTTATAACTATAGTAAAAATAATACTACTGCTATTAAAATAACTATTATAATAATAATAATTTGATTATTTTTATTATTTTTGTTTTATTAGATATTATTTTTTATTTAACAGTACAATAGGGTTAAAATAATAATATAAAAATAATGATATTTTAGTATTATTAGTATTATTATTATTAGATTTTTATTGTGTTCAATATCCGTTGTTTATTTAATAGTACAATTAGCATTACAATCCTACATTTTTATCATTACTTAAAAATTTAAGAATAATAATTTCATTTCATTCTTTTCATTATTTTATTAAATATTCATTTTTTTTTATTTACTAGTACGATTGCATTGTAATTCTTCATTTTGTTCATTAGTTACAATAAAATAATATGAAAATATCAATTTATTTATTTTGTATAAATTTGTATTTATTTTTATTATTGAAGTTTAATTTTAGCATTTATTTTATTTTATTATATATTAATCTTTTATTTAACAGTAAAATTGCATTACAGTTATTTTTATTATACTTAAGAGATAAAATGATAATGTGTACAAGACATGTAATATCCACATGTAATATCAGGTTCAAAGTCTTTTTTTCTTTTTTTCCTTTTTTTTTCTTTTTGTTGGTTTTTGTAAAGATTTAAACACCCTCAAAAGCAACTATTTCTATTGGCACCAGAGTTTGGTTTTTGCCTGGATGTTTCAACAGCAGCAATATGAGATATTTATCATGCAAACCCGTCAGCTAAATATTTCACCTGCAGGACGAAGCGTGAGACTGAAGTGGCTCAGCTGAAGAAGACGCTGGAGGAAGAGGCTAAAGTTCACGAGCAGGTGGTGGCAGAAATGAGACAGAAACACAGTCAGGCCTTCGACGAGCTCAACGAGCAGCTGGAGCAGGTCAAACGGGTACGAGACGCTCTCATTCACTCACACACACTGAAAACATTCATCAGACGTGTGATGAGCAGCATCACTCGGAGTCTCTCCGTCTCTGTTTGTAGAATAAGGTGTCGGTGGACAAGACCAAACAGGCTCTGGAGTCGGAGAGGAACGAGCTGCAGATCGAGCTGCAGACGCTCATGCAGGGCAAAGGAGACTCAGAGCACCGCAGGAAGAAAGCCGAGACGCAGCTGCAGGAGCTGCAGGTCAAACACGCCGAGAGCGAACGCCAGCGCAGCGAATTCGCCGAGAAAGCCGCCAAGTTGCAGGTGAGAGAACCACACACACAATCAACTGATAGATAGATGCTCTTGTACTGATACACCCTTGCAAGCACATAGCAACACCCTAGCAACCAAATAGCAATGCCCTAGCAACACCCTCGTAATCACTCAGAACCCCAAGCAACTTCCTAGCAGCCACATAACAACACCCAAGCAACCACTTAGAAACACCTTCATAATCACACAGAACAGCCTAGAAACTGCCTAGTAACCACATAGTAACACCTTAACAACTTCCTAGCAACACCCTTATAATCACCGAAAACGCCCTAGCAACCACATAGCAAAAGCTTTAGCAACCACTTAAAACACTCTAGCAACTGCCTAGCAACAACATAATAAAAACCTAGCAACCATCTAGCAACACCCTTATAATCACTGAGAACACACTAGCAGCCACATAGCAATGCCCTAGCAACTGCTTAGCAATAACCCTTGCAATAACTCAGAACACCCTAGCAACTGCCTAGTAACCACATAATAACACCCAGCAACTGCCTAGCAACACCCTTGTAATCACTCAGCAACCCTAGCAACACCCTAACAACCACATAGCAATGCCAGTGCATCCACCCAGAAACACCCTTGTTATCACTCAGAACACCCTAGAAACTGCCTAGTAACCACCTAGCAGCACCCAAGCAACCACTTAGAACACCCTAGCAACTACCTAGCAACCACATAGCAATGCCAGAGCACGTAAAAGCCTTAGCAACTGCTTAGATCACACTAACAACCACATAGCAATGCCAGAGCATTGCTATGTGGTTGTTAGGGTGATCTAAGCCACTCAGAACACTTAGAAACACCCACTCAGAACACCCTAGAAACTGCCTAGTAACCACCTAGCAGCACCCAAGCAACCACTTAGAACACCCTAGCAACTACCTAGCAACCACATAGCAATGCCAGAGCACGTAAAAGCCTTAGCAACTGCTTAGATCACACTAACAACCACATAGCAATGCCAGAGCATTGCTATGTGGTTGTTAGGGTGATCTAAGCCACTCAGAACACTTAGAAACACCCACTCAGAACACCCTAGCAACTGCCTAGTAACCACATAGCAACACCCTAGCAACTGCATAGCAACACCCTTATAATCACTGAGAACACCCTAGCAGTCACATAACAACACCCAAGCAACCACCTACAAACACCCTCATAATTACTCAGAACAGCCTAGCAACACCCTAGTAACCACATAACAACGCATTAGCAACCGCTTAGCAATAACCCTTGTAATCACTCAGAACACTCTAGCAACTGCCTAGTAACCACATAGTAATGCCCAGCAACCGCCTAGCAACATACTTCTAATCACTCAGCAACCCTAGTAACCACATAGCAACGCTATAGCAACTGCCTACTGCTAACCGTTGCCATGGCGAGCATCACTCAAGTTTCCCTCCAAAATAATGCAGGTTAATGTGTGATCCGTGTAGATCTGGTTGATTTCTTATGTGAATGTGTTTAAGTGATGGTTGTAATGACTGGCTGGTGTTTGTGCTGCGTGATGAAGGGTTAGCATTATCATTAGCGTAAGGTTAGCGCTGACGGCGGTCATGTCTCTTCTCAGGCGGAGCTGGATAACGTCAACACTCTGCTGAGCGAGGCTGAGGGAAAGTCCATCAAAGCGACGAAGGACTGTTCATCCGTGGAGTCGCAGCTGCAGGACGTCCAGGTACGTACGGTGGCCGGCGGGATTATGGGATGTCTGTGCGCCTCGCTCACTCACTGAACGCTGACTGTATCCTCACAGGAAGTGCTGCAGGAGGAGACGCGGCAGAAGCTCTCGCTGAACACGCGTCTGCGACAGCTGGAGGACGAGCAGAACAGCCTGAGGGAGCAGCTGGAGGAGGAAGAGGAGGCCAAGAGGAACCTGGAGAAACAGATGAGCACCATGCAGGCACAGGTACACAAACACACACAGAAAACCTGCGGACATTACGGAAGTTTAACGTTTGGTTGAAAATCCTTTGTTATAGGTACTTTAGTTACTTGATGAGTGTGATAAGCGTCTGTCTGTCTGTGTGTTCTGCTGCAGCTGACCGACATGAAGAAGAAGGTGGAGCAGGAGGCCAGTTTCCTGGAGAGCACCGAGGAGACGAAGAAGCGAGTCCAGCGCGACCTGGAGGCCGTGACGCTGCGTCTGGACGAGAGGTGCACCGCCTACGACAAGCTGGACAAGACCAAGACGCGTCTGCAGCAGGAGCTGGACGACATGCTGGTTGACCAGGACCACCTGAGACAGATCGTCTCCAACCTGGAGAAGAAGCAGAAGAAGTTCGACCAGGTGAGAGCTGAAGCCGCGGTCGGGATGAGTTTGATTATTAGAGCAGCGGCTCTCAATGCAGTGACTGAAAATGATTTAAAATGACAAAACAGTCATCAAAATAAGCTGAGACAGCTAAAAAAATCAGGATGTTTCTTATTATAATTTATTTTTGGGATCTATAAGGAAGCCTTATAGTGTAAGGAACCCCCACCCCACCCCAACTTAAACACATTTATAAACATATATTTTAAACCCTTTAATGTTTTTTTTAAACTCTACAGCTATGCAGTAAATTTCACTTTAAAGATTCACGTTTCATTCATGAAGATGACATGAAAAAAAATGTCTCCTGGTGGAAAACAAAGACTTTTAAGTTGAAAATAACATGAAATTAGCATTATAACCAGTAGATGGCAGCAGAGGATCACTCATCTCAGTTGCCATTTCAACTCCCTAGTTTTTTTTCACGTCTTGCTTTTGGATTTATTATTAAATTACTAAGTATAGCAAGTGCAGGAAGTCACAAAGTCTCATGTCATTTAAAAATAAATAAATAAATAAACCCAGACAGCAACAGCCTAGTATGGTAAATTATTTAAATACCAGGGGTGCACATAAGTGATACGCAGGTGCGCATGCGCGATCAAAATAAAAAATGCGCTGTGTAAATAAGTTCTGACAGCGCATATGCGTACCGACATGGTTGACAGCTGTTAATGCACAATTACCATTTTAGATCGACAAACTGTAATACTGTATAAGATTTCTATTCAAACTGAATAGATAAATACATCTAGCAGTGTTAATTTCGTTGACGAATAATTTTCGTCAGAATTCTCGTCAACGACATTTTTTTCACTGACGACAACGAGACAATAACGAACTAAAACTCTTTTTGAATGACAAAAACTATGACGAAAATTTTTTGACATTTTCATCAACGAATAAAAACGAGACGAAAATGTTAGGTAGGGTCGATTTGGGAAGAGATTCATTCAGAACGAATCTGCTGCGTGGTATGGAGGTTAGATGCGTACATATGAACCAGCGGGACATAAACTAACATACACTTGCTGCACGTCGCATAAAATGTTCAAAAATGTCAATATGTAGAAGAGCAGACATATAGATAAATCTGGCGACGCAAGAGAGAACTCAGTTTGGTCCGGTTTTCTGAGCGCAGACACTGAAGCATAGGCTACACAAAAAAATGCGTCTCACAGCGCGTGAGTACTCTCTCCAGTTGCATGAACAGAGAATTACACACAAAATAATGTCGAATTGTCCGTTTTGACGAGTATTCACGTAAACACAGTTGATTACGTCTTAAGTGAACGTAAACAGTAG